ATGTGTATTTTACCACAATTTTTAAAAATAAAGTAAAATGGAAATATATCAGAAGGAACCAGGATCCAACTTGATAAAGTCCTCAATGGTCTAAACTGGAATTGGATGGTGGTGATGATTATATAATAATGTGAATGTTACTTAATGCTACTGTACACTAAAAAATGGTTAAGATGGCAAATTTCATGTTATGTATATTTAACAATTAAAAGTAATTTCTGAAAATTTTCATGGAAAAAAAGTAAACAGCAAATCAACAAGTAGGCAATTCTTATGCTCTTTCAGTGGGAAGGAAAACACAGCTGGCATGGCAAGCTCCAACCACAACATGGGGCTGAAAAAAATGCTGTTTCTGTAACAATTCAAAATGTAAAACGCTCACCATTCTTCCAGCCTGTCATTTGTCATTTGTCAATAACTTACCTGTCATTTGAAGCATTGAGTTCCAAGACGGCATCCTTGAGTGCTGGGCCCAGCAGGGCTCGTGCCAAACACAGGATGCTTGTGGTTTTACCAGTTCCTGGGGGGCCCTAGGGACAAGATCTCCAATAAATACTTCGGGCCACCAGAATGACCTCAGCGTAGCTCCTGCTCTACGGCTCACCACTGTTTGCACTCACCTTCCCTCTGACCCCCTACCACCTACCACAACACACAGCGGATCAACACAGCAACCAATCCACAGGCTTCCCAACTGTGCTCCCTTTGCTGAGAGGAATGGTGAGCAGGTAAACTCCTCCTGCCATACCCCTCTGCAGAGGAAGCACGCATGCTTCATATAAACATACATATGGCAGGCAAATGAGACGCTGAGACACCCAACAGGACCAGGACTGAGTACTTACAGCAATGATGATATTGGGCACATTCCCTTCTCTTGCAAAGACCTGAGGGGAAAATGTTCATTCAAAATGGTCAATCCTTAAGCTTCATGAACTGATCTCCCCAGTCACATAGGCCTATGAAGGAAGCATGGCTACAAATTTCTCCACGTGGATGCTCCATGGACTTCTCACCTCAGCATCCTCATTTCTGTTTTTTTCTCCCCCCAGAGACAGAGTTTTGCTATGTTACCCAGGCTGGAGCTAGAGTGCAGGGGCTATTCACAGGGGTGATCATAGCTCACTGCAGCCACCAACTCCTGGGCTCAACTGATCCTCCCACCCCAGCCTCCCAGGTAGCTGGGACTACGTGACACTGCCCCGCAGCATGTTTGAAACTGTGCTCATCATTCTCCTTTACAAATCTGAGGCCCCGCCCATGTTTCCTCTTTCATGGACTGTCCACACCACAAAGCTGAGGTCATTGCCATCCTTGGTTGGCCTCTTCCTCACCCTACACAGCATCTCCATCATAAGGTACTATGGCTTTGCCACTCTTCTCCTTCAACTCCAGAGTCCTTCTCTTCTCTCCAGCCTCATGACCATCTTCTCAGCCCACGGTCTCTCACCTGATTGCAATCCACGGACCATTAACTGGTCTCCTTGCCTCTAATCTTGCCCCATTGCAATCCATTTCCCATGCTGTAGGCAAAACTGCTTTTCTAAAGTGTCTACTAAAAATTTTTACCTAACTGAAACCCTTGGATGACTTCTTCCTGTCCTCACTATGAAGCCCAAACTCTTAAACATGGCTCACAAGGCCTTGCACAACCTGGATCCTGCCCACCTCCCCCGCTTATTTCTCACCTCATCCTAAAACGCACACTTTCCAGCCCTGTTACTCACAGCGGGCCCCACGGACCCGCAAGCGTCACATCCCCTGTGAGCCGGTGAGAAACGCTGACTGCCTGGCCCCACTCCTGAACCACTGGATCTGCATTTGCATTTAACCAAGATCCCCAGCAATTCATACACCCAAGCTCTCTTACCTCTGGGCTTTTGCACATGCTATTCCTACTGCCTCCCCTCTGTCTGCCCCCTACCCTCCAAACATGGCCACTTCCCACTCATTTAGCTTTGGTGTCACTTCTCCCACTTGCGGACTAAGTCACCGTGAGCAGGTAAACTCCTCCTGCCATACACTCTCATGACATGCTGACTTCCTCTCATTGAGTGCTTATCACAGTACCTGCTGGCTTTAATGTAGGCCCCATTAGACTGTAAATCTCACAGGCACAGCAATCATGTGTATTTTGTTCACGGTTACAGTTCCTAATACTACATCTGGCCCAGAGAAGACACACAAATACTTGTATCATGAATAAATCAAAAGAACCTTGGTAGCTATTAAAATCTAAGCCCCGTATTTACTGTAGAGACCACCTGTCAAGTCTCACATAGTGGCTTCTAGATCCTGTCTCTAAAGACTTCCAGGGCTAAGAATTCAAAGCTTGCTCTACTGCTGAACATTTCTGCTTGCTCCTCTTTGTGTCACCCTGAAGTCGGCTGCGTTGTCACTTAGCCATTTAGCTCCTCTAGGCAGGGGTTGGCAAACTATGGCCTGGGATGAGGACGAGGGGGTGGAGAGAATTCATCTTGAAGCCAGTTTTTGTAAGTCTCCTAGCTAAGAATGGTTTTTACATTTTTTTTTTTTGAGACAGGGTCTCGCTTTGTTGCCCAGGCTAGAGTGAGTGTCGTGGCGTCAGGCTAGCTCACAGCAACCTCAAACTCCTGGGCTCAAGCGATCCTCCTGCCTCAGCCTCCCGAGTGGCTGGGACTATAGGCATGTGCCACCATGCCCGGCTAATTTTTTCTATATATATATTTTTTAGTTGTCCAGATCATTTCTTTCTATTTTTTTAGTAGAGACGGGGTCTTGCTCTTGCTCAGGCTGGTCTTGAACTCCTGAGCTCAAACGATCCGCCCGCCTCGGCCTCCCAGAGTGCTAGGATTACAGGTGTGAGCCACTGCGCCTGGCCAGTTTTTACATTTTTAAAGGATTGTTTTTTAAAAAAATAAAGAATATCAGACAAACACCTTTGGTGGTTTACAAAGTCTAAGATATTTATTATCTGGCCTTTACAGAAACAGTTTGCTGCCCCTGCTCTAGGGGAATACAGAACAGGTCTGAGAATCCCTCTCCAATAAGCCAGCCCTCCAAGCCATTATCCCCCACAGCTTCTACTCTTCCCCAAACTGAAAGCCCCCAGTCCCTCAATTCTTCTGGATTTGTGGTTCACCTCCCCCTCACTATGTTGGGTGTCTTTCTCCAAATGCCTTGAGCTTGTCAAAGCCACAGTAAGGACAACAGACCATTTTTTAAAAAGTCACTCACCTCCAGTCTGCTCACGGTGTCTTCGTTCCCGACAACTTCATTCAGCTTTACTGGTCTATATTTTTCAACCCTGTTTTAAAGAAAATGCATAAAAATGTTGACATGGCGATTTTCACATTACCCAAAAGAAAGGACTAAAGGGCAATCCTGGAGAGTTTTGTCAAAAGATTATATACATTTAATAAAAATATGCCAAATGGCTGCAAGTTTTAAATTTAAGGAGGTGCCTAAGTGCCATTTGAAAAGTACATGAGAATCGTACACCAAAGGCTTCAAACCTGCCACAGCAGAGAGACACCTGTGGCTGCTGGAAAAGGGCCAGAGGCAGACCATCTGGAGCAATGTGACACTGTGCTGCAACACAGTGTGCCTGTCACAACAGAGGCCCAGCACATGCGGCACTGACATCATTTGGTCTGACAGACGTGGGTGCAACCGAGCCCCTTTCTCATCCCTTACCTGCCAGTTTCTGCAGACACGTGCCAAGCGCACAGCAGGGCTGGCTAGACAGAAACCGCAGGCCTATCCTGCGATCCTATTAGGCTGTATGGAGTCGACAGGTCAGTGGCTTATTTAGACCAATAGTTTTCTCTTTTAAATTAAAAAGCAAGCTATGTTATAAGAGAAAAGGACGTTCTCCAGCTCTGAGAATAGAAGTGGTGGCAAATTTGCAATGATGTGACCATCAGAACTTCCTCTGCCCTTCATTAAATTCCCTGATTTACCCCAGCTCGCACCCTGTGCAGGTACTGGTTCTGCTCCAGAAGTAGCTGTATGCAAAGCGGCTTATTTCCCACAGACTACAGAAAATAGCGACAGCTCTCCTCCGAGACTAGCAAGTGGAGTATGCTTGTTCTTACTCATTCCTTATACTCAGCCGCTTCCAGGTGCCAAGCACTATATAAGGAGTCAGAGATCTCAGGAGAGGAAAGTAGAAGGTACAGGGACGAGCAAGACGTGATTCTTGCTCTAAAGGGCTTTTCCACCAGCAGGGACATAGAGCTTAGCAAATCCTACTACAGTGCCAAGCTGGTCACATAAACCAAGGGCTGTGGAAGCCCAGAGGAGGGAGGGAATCACCAGCCAGGAATGTCAGGAGCTGAAATTTGAGCTGGATTTTGAACAAGCTTGTTCCTCCTTCAGGGCCTTTGCCGAAGCTGCTCTTCCTCCATACAGCCACAGGGCTTACTCCCCGACTTTGCTCAAAGATCAGAGCTCATCAGAGACCTCCTCGGACATTGTTCTCCAGAGCACCCGACATCATCAAACACACTGCACATCTACTTGTCTATTTTCTCATTTTGTCATTCTCTATCAAATGTAAGCTCCACCGCGACAGAGAGTTTGTTTTGTTAACTGAAGTATCTCTAGCATCTAGAATAGCGCTGTGCAATAAAAATTTTATACAAGCCACATAGGTAATTTAAAATTTTCTGGTAGTCACATTAAAAGGTAAAAAGAAAACGGGTGAAGTTAACTTTAATATTTTTTAAACCTAATATAGTCAAAATATTATCATTTTCAACATGTAATCAATATAAAAGAATGACGGAGATATTTTAAAAATACTAAGAGTAGGTGGTCCCACCGGGTAGCCCTCACCGTCGTTAGCACTGTTCTGAGAGAGACCCCGCTCGCAGTTCAGACCCGCCACTCTCGACCCCAGATGGGCTCGGTGACCTACGCCCCTCGCCTTCTCCAACCAGTAACCTCCTCGACGCCACCCCGGGCCTGCCGCTCCCTCAGGATCGCCCCATCGAGCCCCCGACCCGGGATCCTCCAGAGCAAGGCCCGTCACTCGCCCACCCTCGCGTCCGCATGCAGCCACTCTTTGCGGCCTGGGCCCTCACCACGGCAGCTCGTAGTGGCCGGCGCTGCCGGGAGCCTTGCTGGGTGCAGTGGCAGGGTCCTGGGACCCGCACTCGCCCGCGCTACTGCAGCTAGCCTGCACCTCCATTTCCGCGCCTCCTCTTCGCGCCACCCGTGGCCCCGCCCCGTGACGCCATCACGCAAAGCCCCGCCCCCGAGCCCGCCGGGCACGAGCGGAAGTCGCGCGTTTGCCCTTTTCCGCGCCTGCGTGGAGGACTCCGGCCTGGCAGAGCTGCGTCGCTAGAGGCCGCGGTTGCTACGCGAGGTCTGGCGTTCGGTCTGGCAGCTGGACTGAGGCGAGACGTGGCCGCGTCGCCTTGCAAGACGGCCAGGAACGGACGTTTGTGCGGTTTGTCTGGGAGAGTCTCTCCGCGGCGGGGTGGGAGCATCCTGCCTCGTGGGCGCGGACAGGAGCGGGGGGCCTATGGCGTTGTGGAGCCGACACGGACCCGGGCGCGGGGACACCGGCAGCGCTGACGCCCGGGTGCACCTGGGATCTGCCGGTGCCCGGTTCTCCGGATTGCCGCGAACGTCCCAGCGGGCAGCTCCGGTTGGCTGGGAGCGCCCGAGCCGTGTGTGGTACTGAACATCAGGGAATTCTCCGCTGCAGGACCGGAATTGCCACCCCCACCCCCGCCCCATTTTGCAGAAGGGGAAACTGAAACTGTCCCTCTGTTAGATGTAGTTTTCATTCCAGAAACATAGGTACTTCACATTCACAAGTGCTTTGAGCATTTTTGTGGGCTGTTTTTCTACCTATTGAACTAATTTTTCCTCCCATAGCCCAGACGTCATAATTATAATAAATAATGACTATCATTTACTACACCCTTACTATGCGCTAGCTCCGAAGTGGATACTCATATTATTCTCGTTTTGTAAATGGAGACATAGGCTTGCGAATGATGAAATAATTTATCCAATGTCATTTAGGTTGTCAGTGGTGGCGCCAGAATTCATTCCCCCACCGTGTTGCCAAAGCTCTTCGTATAAAATTCATTTTTACTGCACGTACCATATTGCATTATAATTTCAGGGTAGGCTGGGTGCAGTGGCTCACGCCTGTAATCCTAGCACTATGGGAGGCCCGGGCGGGAGGATCGCTTGAGGTCAGGAGTTTGAGATCAGCCTGAGCAAGAGCGAGAGACCCCGTCTCTACTAAAAATAGAAAAATTAGCGGGGTGTGGTGGCGCATGCCTGTAGTCCCAGCCACTCAGGAGGCTGAGGCAGGAGGATTGCTTGAGCCCAGGAGTTTGAGGTTGCAGTGAGGTATGATGACACCACTGCACTCTACCTGGGGTAACAGAGAGCGACTCTGTCTCAGAAAGAAAAAGAAAGAAAAAATAAATTTCAGGGTAAAAATTGGCTTTACTGTCTGAATTGAAGGCAAGGATTGGGAACTATTTATCCCTATCCCCAATGCTTAGCACAGAGCCTGGCATACTGTAAGTATTGGAATATCTTTAATGAATAATGGGAAGTTGTGTTTCCAGAACAGCTTGGGTCAGCTGTGAGGAGGTGGGTTGCTTTCACCAGAGGACTGACCAAAGCCCCATAGCAATTTTCTTTCCATCAACAGTGAAAATCTGCATATATTACAAGTAGAAGACCTTGTTTTGTAGGCAACTGATTACTCATCCAAATAAATATCTGCTCCAGAATCCATATTGCAGGACATTGTTTTCTATTTTTATCCTTATTGTTTAGTTTTCTTCCTCCAAGAAACCCTGCCTGTTATGGAAATTTATTGGGGAATACAATATTGCTGTTACGTTAATTATGCATGTGTAAATTGGTGCTCCATCTTTTCTAGCTGGAGTGTTTAGCTCCTTGAGGACAAGGTACCTGCCCCCTGCTTCCGTTTCTTCTCTTGTATATAATAGGTGCTGAGTTGATGTCTGCCGACTGCTCATTTTGGTTATGCAGCCAGACTGGCAAGATCCAAGCAGTGGGCAAAATTTATGAATGTGCTCTATGAGATAAGACAAAAACATGTCCTTCCCCATTCTTTTCAAGTTATTGCCAGTTGGGTAGGAACCTCAAATTCTGAAGTGGTTTGTTTACTGATAGTAATTATTAAAGTCTCCAGATTCAGAACTTACTAGGTGAAGGTGGGGCTGGGTGGCTCACGGCCTAGCACTCTAGGAGGCCGAGGTGGGTGGATCGCTCAAGGTCAGGAGTTCAGACCAGAACTTACTCAGTGTTTTTCTTTTCCCCTTTTATATGATTTGGATATCTCTCTTCCATTCCCCTTTAAACTGATGGAGCCTTCTTGTATATTTTTTAAATCAGTATTCACGGGTCCTTTATTATTTCTGGAGGAGAAAATACAAACTTTTCTTAAAATGTCTCTGTGGTTTTTCCTTGGGATTGTTCCTACGTGGTAATATTCATGTTTAACTTATAATCAACTATCACACACATCCCTTCCACCATATAAAACAATTTAGAAACTAAACATTTTCAATACATTCAGAAAACGATATATAATTCTTTCTCCTTTCATGGTTCTTTCCCAAAAACGCAACTCTACAAAAGGCCTTTTGGTGCTGCCAGGACTCTGGTCTCACTGATGTGCTTGGAATGGCAGGAGAACCAGAGAAGAAGGTGACTTTTGGGGCAGAACTGCACTGTCAGGACATTTTTCTTCTTTCTAAACTGAGCCTTCTGTGACCCGGTTGGACTCGGGCCCAGACAGACTCAAAGCTTAAAAACTCCAGCCACTCCCTAGGGCCAAACAGCAGCAATGTTGGGAGACCAGGGAGTGTTGGGGAAACCAACCACAGGTTCTTGTGAAAGGGCAAGGAGTAGCCGCAGGGAATTCCTCCTGACAAATCCATAAAATCCCAGGAAATTGAATTCACACTGAGGCTAAGCTCCCAGACTCTTTTATCACAAGAGGACAAGGCAGTTATACAAAAAGAGGAAGCACGTGGAAAGGAAATAAAATTGAAAACAAAATCCTTTACCAAAATCCAGAGGCTTCCAATGAAATTATCAAATAGGACAGGCAATAAATCTTGGTTAAAATGACACCCAGACTTTTCACTATTTGCCCAGTTCCTGTGTAGCGCTACAGGATATGAGGCTGAAAATCTGGTGACACCGCAAGACCGGGACTGTCACATAAGCCTGTTTTCCACCTGCTTTCTGCCTACTCAAGCCTCCATTGGCCCAGAATATCAAACATGCTTGATTATGTTTGTCTTGTTTACATTGCATTTTTAAAATTCATTATTTGTTTTCAAGTGGATTTCTTTATGATTTTTAGCTCTTTTTTTGTTTTAAAATGGTGATGCTATCACTGAAATAATCGTTTCCTCAGACACTGTGGTGTTCTGTCCCCTTTAGAGCTTTTCGAACATTCTTGTTGGCATTTTGAGTATTAAGAGGCTCATTGTGTATTGGGGGGGTGTGGGAAACATCTTCTAGATATATCTGCGGTATAAGGATTTCCCATCTGGGTAAAATTTGTCCCTGGGTATTGCTGTGATTAGAATTACGGAATTTGGAAGCTGGTTGGAAATCATCATGACTCTCGTTTTCTGTCTTTAACAAATATTGATTGAGTGCCTACAGCCACTGGGGTAGGCATGGGAGCTTACATTATAGGGAGGAAACAGCCACCAAGCAGCCAATCTTATGTTTATTTGATTATAATTATGATGAATGTTAGAAAAGGAACTGATCGGTTGTGAGGCTATCAGCAGTAAGGTTAACACCCTACCTGGGAGATCAGGGAGGGCTTTGCCAGGGAGGGGCATTTGACCCTGACTCTGAGATTGAACACCTGTTGGCTTTGCTGGGAAGGACTACCTAACCCCTGCCCTATTTCCCATTGTTCCCTACCCTATCACCCTTTCTTTCTTCTTTTTTCATTTCTTCACTCAGGCTGGAGTACAGTGGTGCAATCGTAGTCACTGCAGCCCCAAACTCCTGGGCTCAAGTGATCCTCTTGCCTCTACTTCCCAGCTAATTTTTCTTATTTTTTATAGAGATGGGGTCTTGCTGTGTTGCCCAGGCTAGCCTCCTACCCCCTCAGCCTCCCAAAGTATTGCATTTACAGGTGTGAGCCACCTCACCCAGCCCTGTTTATTTCTTTAATTGTACTTACCCACAATGTATAATTATCTGGATATATTGCCTTGCTTATTGTTTTTTCCCCTCTAGAATGATAGTTCTTTGAGAACAGGAACTTTCTGTGTCTTGTTCACCATTGTAGTGGCTGGCCCAGAGCAGGGGCTTCATGAATGCATGAACGAATGAATGACAACAGAGCTGGAGCACAGGGTGGCCTGACCAGTCGGATGGGTGGGAGTGAGGTTGGAGAGAGATGAGGCCCGCAGGGTGCAGGGTGTGCAGGGCCATGAAGGCCTATTAAGATTGATGAGAAGCCGCTGGAGGATGGGAGGCAAAGCGACAGGACTCAGTTTGTGCTTGAGATCACTCCAGTTGTGGTGCAGCGAGTGGTCTGGAGGAGGCAAGGGTAACTGCAGAGGAAATATGTGTGGAAGTGTTGGGTTGGGTTTGTGATCTTTTTTTTTTTTTTTCCCCGAGACAGGGTCTCGCTGTGTTGCCCGGGCTAGAGTGCCATGGCGTCAGCCTAGCTCACAGCAACCTCAAACTCCTGGGCTCAAGCAATCCTCCTGCCTCAGCCTCCCGAGTAGCTGGGACTACAGGCATGCGCCACCATGCCCGGCTAATTTTTTCTGTGTATTTTTAGTTGTCCGATTAATTTCTTTCTATTTTTAGTAGAGACGGGGGTCTTGCTCTTGCTCAGGCTGGTCTCGAACTCCTGAGCTCAAATGATCCACCCGCCTTGGCCTCCCAGAGTGCTAGGATTACAGGCGTGAGCCACTGCGCCCGGCCGGGTTTGTGATCTTTTAATCTCTAATTTTTAAATTATAGAACATTTCAAGCACACCAAAAATATCAACATTTATATACCCACCACCAACACATATTAAAATTTCCCCTCCTTTTTAAAAAAAGAAATAAGCATTAACAATCTTGCTAACACTCTCCACCCCAATCTCTCCTCTTCGCTTCTCCACCCCTACTCTACAGAAGAGGAAACTGTTGCACAGAGAGGTGCCCAAGCTGTGGTACCCAAGGTCTCTTGGTCAGTAGGAGGTAGAGTCTGGATCTAGACTAGG